CCGTGGGACCTCACATTCGTGTATCACTCACAGTGACTCCAGCAGGGGAAGCTGCCCTATGCTCGCAGGGATGGGGCCTGACAGTGAATTGTAGCTCAGATCGCTGGTGGCAGGGCGGGGGGTGGCGGAGGGAGGGTCGAAGGGGTGTGAGGGAGGGGGGGGTGTTTAGGGGAGTGAGTGGCAAAGGGAGGGACAGGAGGAGAACCACCCAATTCTTGCATTGATGAAGCCTGCTGATACCACGAGTTGCAGCTCAGATTGCTGGTCATAGGGCCTGGGGGAGAGCAGCAAGGGAAGACGGTGCGGGGGTCTCAGATGGCGTAGAAGTGTCTGTGTGTGTGCGGGTGGCACATGTGCGGTGCGGCCCTGAGCAGTGCATCTTTTGAGTCGACGCAAAAATCGCCTCATCACACGCGGCCCTGAGCTGTGCATCTTGGGTCAGTTGCTAAGCAAGGGAGGGAGCTCACCTGCTCAGGGACGCGTGTGGGCCCCTGTATGATGGGAGGGAAAGGGGAGGATGCGTGGCATTGTGGCATTCCACGTGTCAGCTATGTGGCAGCTATGTGCCACATGTCAGCTATGTGGCATTCCACATGTCAGCTATGTGGCATTCCACATGTCAGCTATGTAGCGTAGAGCTGTGAGTGCGTGTGCTTGCTTGGTTGGCACATGATCATTCTCAATACTAGCTGATCAGGTCTTGAGCTGTGACTCCTGGGTCAGGACCCTCCTGCCCAGATCTGGGCAGAGGAGGGAGTGCAGGGCCTCAGTGCCCATCCCCCAGCACCGCCATGAGCAAGAACGGACCTGGGGGGGCTTCAAGCACTCCTCCCACCAATGCTGGGGAAGCTCCGCAATCTCCCGCATCTCCCGCATCTCCCGCATCTCCCGCATCACCTCCATCTCCCGCATCACCTGCATCTCCCGCATCACCCGCATCACCTGCATCAGCGGAATCCAGATTTGCCTGCCTACCTGGCGTCCGCGGCGTGCGCTGCAGCCTTCCCCCCACCCACCCAGCTCAACGATGCCCTCCGCCCCAGGAGGTGTGGCGATACCCCCACCTCGCGGCCGTGCTACGTGAAAGAAGAGTATTTCTGAGACTTCTCAAAAACGCTCTTCTTTCACGTGGCGTGCGCTGCAGCCCTCCCCCCACCCACCCAGCTCAACGATGTCCTCCGCCCCGGGAGGTGCGGCGTTACCCCCACCTCGTGGCCCTGCTGCCGCTATTCGAGCCATCCCCACCCGGACTGGTGGCCCCGACACCCCTTCCTGCTCGACTCGCTTTTGAGTCGACTCAAAAGCAGACTGGTGGCCCCGACACCCCTTCCTGCTCGACTCGTCGCAGCTGAAGATAGCCTCCCGCCTGATGCGTCGCAGCTGAAGAAAGCCTCCCACCTGATGTGTCGCAGCTGAAGAAAGCCTCCCGCCTGATGCCCTCCCCACACTCACCCAACTTCAGTAAGGTGGAGACGCAGCGAAGGGCCAGCATGCCCTTTCGAAGGCAGTCCACACAAACCACTACGGAGAACTCCTCAAGCATGGACGGGAGATGGAAGTGAACCCGCTGATTTTTGCGTAGACTGTCAAAAGATGATGTTTGAGTCGACTCAAAAGTCAACTCCTCAAGCAGAGACGGGAGATGGAAGTGAACTCGCTAATGGGGCGCACACAGCAGCCAATGTCCCTGATCGGCCTGGGGGCGGGGGATTGGCTGACTGATGGCCATCCCCTTTGCTCATAGCTACTGCACCTCTCACTCACCTGCCCACTTCGCCTCAGCCCTGGCGTTCCGGCTCGGCCTACCTCGAGACGTGCCTGGAGCGTGCGACTACCGAGACAAAACCGAAGTATTGGACAAACGGCTCCCCAATCATGTGCTGCGGTGTGGAAGGGGGAAAGGACGCACAGGGACGCGCCACGCCCTGCGCTGCGCGACGGGATGCGTCAGAAGTGCAGCGGAGTCGGGCTTTGCGGCGCAGCGGGAAACAACGCTGTACGCATCTGTGGAGGGCCCGAAGGCCGACATGATAGCAATCCGCCAGCCCGACTCCTCTACGGCTGCGTGGATCTGTCACCTCACCATCACGGACCCGATCCCACAGCATCGCACCGGGTGGGCTAGGCGGTGCGGATAGCGGCCCGGGGAAAGGAGCACAAGTACCGCCCGCCACCGATCCAGGCCAGCCCCGGCCCAGCCCGGCCCGGCCCGGCCCGCCGGTCCGGCCCCACCCCGGCTCGCATGGTTGCACGGTTCGAGGGCCAGGTTTTTGCTGGGCCGTAGCCGACCCAACAACAAGGGCGGCCTGGTACGGGCTAGCCACAGGCCGGTCCTGGCCCAGCCCGTGCTCATGTCATGCCTGCTCCCCTCCCTAGGGCGAACCTGTAGCCCTACCACCACAGTCAACTGGGAACGATCTGCGTGCCCTACCAACACAAACGCGGTAAGAAAAGACAGAAAAATTGACGGGTTGGGTGGGGCGGCAATTGAGAACCCAGTAACTTATCAACATGAGATGGCATCTCACAGTGAAACGAGCGTAGTGAGGTTGCCTATAACGGAGCAGATGCTTCCTTTCAGACCAGCACCAGACAAGTCACTGCGAATGCAGGGGATTGCAGAACAGACATGGAAATGGCAAAACAAGGACGGGAAGTGCATGGCAAAAACTAGAGGGATGGTAAACAAAACAACACAATAAAAACGGGGATTTACATGGGGAACGAGGGAGAAAGTATATGTCACTTGCGGGTGCATTTCCGTTTAATCCCAGGGTTCATGTTTTTCAAACAGGAGGTTTGGTTGCGACAAAGATGCAACGCAACCATGTTCACTCCCCTGCGAACAGAGTGCTGATTCGTCGATCTAGACAACTCACATGGTGTTGACTGTTCCGTCAGGGTTACACACGAGGCCTTCGTCCGCCGTGCACGGAGCTCTCGGTTTCCACTTGTAACCCGTCGCACCCATTTCCACCGCACACTGCGCCAAAACCTTGCCTGGACACCCGAGGAATGCGACGGTATTTTACAAGGCCTCCAAAAATCACACACAAAAATGTGGCACGTTCAAGTTCCCTCAATGCACGCGCGAATAGGATGCACGCGCGATACAAGCACTCGCGATACAAGCACAGACCTTGCTCTTGCTCCAGGACCACGCCGGCGGCTTCGGAAAGCGGCAAATAACCAAGGAAAGTCGAGAAGACTAGAAGCGACACGATTAACGAGACACGCGGCGCCAATGAGGTCTGGCAGTAGTAGCGGCCAGCAATGGATGCCTGATTCAAACACTGCTGCTGCATCAGCCATGCGCTGCGGCCAACATTGCTGCTAACATCGCCCTTCCTAGAGTCTAGCACGTTTTGAGAAGGCATTCTGCTCTGCGAAGCTTCGTCCATTGGCGCTTACTGCTAGTTAGGAGGCCACTGAGCTACTTCTCGACTTTCAGGCCGTCCCCTATTGAAGCCTACTAGGCAAAAAATAGCAGCTGAGCTACCACGGCTTTCGCCATCATGCACATTTGTGGAGGTCAGTGGAGGTAGCTGAGCTATTAGGGCGGGTCCAACAGTGAACGGATTCGCAGAAAACCCTACCCAACCATCTGGTTTGTTAATCAGTCGCTCTGGAACACGTTTTAACCTTTTTCGACCGCATTCAGACGCACTCTCTGGACACGCCCCACGAGACTAACCGTGGGTGATTTTTAGAACTGCTTCCGTTATCCGTGGATCTAAGCTTCCAGAACGGTACAGAAGTACTGATAACACGATTTCTGTCAGTAAAGACCTGGAAGACTCTATTGGAAGCTGTAGATTTTGGTTAGGCAAGAGACTGGTTGAGACTCAGGTTTGGTACGGCGCACGTTTCAGCTTCGGACTCCCCAAAAGGGTGAAAGCCTTTAACGAAAACTGGCTGTTTTATGTAACGGAGTCGCAAACAATTCAGAAACTTGTAATAGAGAGGGATAAAAGCACTATTGCGGAACGATAGGCAATGGAGATCTAAACTTTCTGCCCAATGAGATTGGCTCCTGCCAGATTACTAGTCTCATATAAAAAAACCAGCTCACCATAGCTTTGTGCTTGTAACATACAAAAAATCAACAATGAGAGGGATAAAAGCACTATTGCATCACGATATTACTGTTGCATTAAACAAAACACAGTATTTCCCAATGTAGGGGTCCCTGGGCAGTTTGTTTGGCATCATCCAACTACAGATGTTCTCGTTTATAGTCCGACGGACTGAGACGCCGCGCGCGGACTATGTGCGAAAACCTTCAAACCCCAGGCAAAATGCGATTCTTATAGTCCCGTTCAGGAAAATTGCATGATGAGTCGTTTGTTTGCTACTAGTATCTGGATTTTGTCTTTTACGTAGATTCGGTTCCCCGCGCTGATCAATGTCGCATGACAAACGGGCAAAACAAAACGTAATTAATTATGGTTTGGGGGTAGAATAGAAGGTAAAAAATTCTCGTTTACCTTGTAAGCGAGGTAAATGAGATGTCATCGTCGAGCGCGCTGGAGACCGCGCGACATGATTGAGAATTAATCACGCTCAAGAGAAGTAATAACTTACAATTCCAAAGTTAAATTTCTAATCGATGATCCCTTATTTCTCGTTTTCCCTGAATGTCGGGGCTGGTTTGATCTGGAGCCTCTGATTGGCTGCGGAGCTGATTCATGCAATGATTCGGTCAAGCTGCAAAATTTCCCGCCAAAAAAGGGACTATAGGGGTCGGGCCAACCCTAGGCGATATCGGAAAACTCTACACAAGGGGGAAAAGGGACTCTTTCAGCGAGGGACTCTAACCAGGAACACCTGTACTACATGGCACGTCCCTTCCCTTCAATTGTGGTTAGAGGTGTGCTCCGTACATTTCGAAATCATTCTCATTGCAAGATAATGAAAGAAAGAAATAAACAAGAAATAAAAACGCTGAAGAAAGGGCTGAATCACCGTAGAAACACTAAAATGCGAGAGCATGCTACATATCAATCACATGCGCCGGAGATCACATCAATGCACAGAAACTCATCATCCAGGCTCTGCTCGGGCTGCCGCATTGCGACCTCCTGGTCGATGCTCTCGAATCGTGAATCCGCTTTCGATGTCGCGTTCTGCAGAAACTCCTTTGAGAGAGCGTCCAATCGCACGGCGACTTCTCGCATGTGCGGGCGAGAGGAGGGAGGCATGCCGGTGCACCGCAGCGCGAGCTCAACGACCTGCAAAAGCAGTTCGTTCGGGATGCTGTCGAGATGAGGGTCCTTGAGGCCTTGGATGTCTCGATCTTGCACGCGGCGGGCAGCCTGCAGAGAAAAATATGGTGGGAGAAATATTTGGGGCAGGTTTGTGGTTGCTAGGTAGAGGGTCGATGGGATGTACGGAAAGATGTACGGAAGAGTATGGGAGGACTGTACTGAGTAGGAGGTGTATCATTCTCAATAAAAGGCAGACCAGATGCTCATGAGAAAAATGTGGGCACTACAAGATAAGAAAACGCAAGCAGTGTTTACCTCACATGTAATGTTTTGTACTGTACTGTACTGTAATGTGCTCACCCAATCCTTGATACTGGTGTTGATGCCCTTTTCGTCCACTACAGCAGGCCTTGTCAGCATGACCTCTAGCATCAACACGCCAAAGCTGGAGCACATATGGGGGAATTAAACAAATAAATCAAACCTATGGCCTTGATAGGTTAAGAGGTTGCCAGAAGGGTATGACTTATTTATGGAGTTAGGATGGAAATGTTTGATGGGATTAGCCTAAGACATGAGTAGTGGGTTCAACTTATAGAAATGCACGATGATTGAACACCCACCTGTGCACGTCAGCCATGGGTGTGGCCTTGTTGGTGTGCGAGCAAGCGGGGTCCATATAGCCCGGATTGCTGACCACGTGGGTGGGATTCACTGTGGTGCCTTGTAGAATGCGCACCAGCCCAAACTCTGATACCTTCGGCTGGTGCGGTGTGGGGCAAAGAAGGGGATGAAACGATTTCAAGCGGTTTGAGCTGATGCTTGACGCTGCCGCTTGACACTCAAGTTGACGCTTGATGTTCAGGTTGATGTACTTGCTTCTAAACAAACATCAAAGACAGGAAATTACATCCATACAGGTAGTAAATGGGAGGCGAGTCAAATGCATTGGCATGATGAGTTAGTCTCACTCATCCACTTGTATGTTGTAGCAGACTCATTCTCATCTTCCAGTTTTGAGGCGCCTCAAAACTAGTTTTGAGTTTTGAGGCGCCTCAAAAGGTAGTCTCACTCATCCACTCGTATGGTGTAGCAGACTCATTCTCATCTTCCTTCCTGACCACACTCCATCACCCTCCCCCTCTTTTCCCCCTCCTCCCATACCTGCATGCGGGCATCGAGCAGCACGTTGGCGGGCTTGATGTCTCGATGCACGATGTCAAACTGGTGGAGGTACTCCAACCCCCGCGCCACCCCCACCAGCACATCCATGCGTTGCTGCAGCGTCAGCGTGCCCTTTTTCGGCCCTGCAAGAAAGGATGAAAGGTTAAGGACCCGACTAGGAACATATCAGGAGAGAAATAAGAAGATTGAACGGGACAATGGAAGAACAGCTGGGCAGAATATACGCGTCTCTGAGTAGCCCTATCAAAATGCAGTGTTTTTAATGCAGTATTGATTTGATTTCACTTAGTCTAAGGACATCTCTCACCGCCAGTTAGATACTTCTCGAGGTCCCCATTGGCGCAGATCTCATAGATAACGATCTGCTCGTGGTGCTCTGTTGTCATATCCATGTCCACACAGTACCCCAGCAGCCGCACCAAGTTCGGATGGCTCTTTGATGCCATCTCCTCCACCTGCAGGGGGAGAACAGGAAATGAAGGGATGAAGAAACAAGAGGCCAAATGAGACGATGGCTCTTTGATGCCATCTCCTCCACCTGCAGGGGGAGAACAGGAAATGAAGGGATGAAGAAACAAGAGGCCAAATGTGACGATGGCTCTTTGATGCCATCTCCTCCACCTGCAGGGGGAGAACAGGAAATGAAGGGATGAAGAAACAAGAGGCCAAATGAGACGATGGCTCTTTGATGCCATCTCCTCCACCTGCAGGGGGAGAACAGGAAATGAAGGGACGAAGAAACAAGAGGCCAAATGAGACGATGGCTCTTTGATGCCATCTCCTCCACCTGTGCTGGGGAAAGGAATTGAACAGAAAGCGATGATATGAGCTGCGATGTCATCTCCTTTGACACATCTCCTCCAGCTGCATGAGGAATGATGGTAAGAGGAAAGACAGATATGGGCTATGAATTTGTGGGACTGATGAGCCTCTTTACACACCATATCCTCCATCTGCATGGTAAGGACAACAAAAGGGAGATTTGAGGTAAGAGTTGGATTGGACCAAGAAGGAAGCATGGGGGTTAGTAAGGGCCATACGTTATTCCACTGACGTGGACCACAATGCCGACACTGAAAATGATGAAAATTACACCAGTTTTTTTTTTTTTTTTTTTTTTTTTTTTTTTTTTTTACTTACGTTCGTGTCTTTCGTTCGTGTCTTTACGTTCGTGTCCTTCGTTCAATTCCGCAGGTACCTTGCCTTCTCACCTCTCGCTTGAAGACGTTGGTGAGTATCTTGGCGCGCTTCGCAGCCCACACCACGGAGGGATCATCGGGGCACACCCCTCGATATACCTCCCCGTACCCGCCCGACCCAACATGGTTTGCCTCGGCCCAGTTGTCCGTTGCCTTGGCCACCGTGGCAAAGGAGTAGCGCTGGCACATGTGGGCCTGACTCAGCATGACTGACAACAACTGGCTGTTGTCTGTTGCCCCGTCGCTCACTCGAGTATCTGATTTCACGAAGTTAAAATACATCAAGTATGGCATTTAGGTTAGCAGAAAGAGGTAGACTGCACAGCTTCCGACGAACAGAAGAGGGATTTATGACGGAGAGTTAGCTTGTAGTAGAAGGAAAGTAATGTAACACACGTGTTTACGAAAAGCGAATGGAGGTTTGTGGAGCGTGATGTAAGACAAACAAAAATAAATCCAATTTAAAAACAAGAGTGAATAGAGGAAATCCACCTGAGTCGAATACCTAACAGCCAGAAATTCACCTTGGGTAGACCTTCGCTTCCAGAGTAGGATCAGGCCAATAACGAGGAGGAAAATAACGAGTACGCCGCCCACCACAATGCCGATGAGAGCTCCCAGAGGCAAACCAGACGAGGAGGAAGAGGCGGGAAGCATGTTTGTGTCTGTGGAAGGAGTGTTAGTAGCAGGAGGAGGAGAGGAGGGGACAGCAGCAGCAGGATCAGACAAATGGGCGGCAGGTCTGGTGCAGGAGGAGCAGAAGTCAGGGCAGGCGAGGCAGAACTGCGAGGAGGGGGTCTGGTGGACCACACACGGCTGCCCGGCTCCTGTGGGGCACACTGTGCCGCTCTCATTGAGCTCACTGGGGGTTGTGTGGGAGAGGGAGGAGAGAGAAGGCAGTGTTGATTGAAGGAAAAGCCAGCAGCAGCAGCGTCAGCACCAGCACCAGCAGCGGTGGCGGCGGCAGTGGCGGCGGCAGTGGCGGCAGCAGCAGCATCAGCACCAGCAGCGGCGGCGGCGCAGTGGCGGCAGCAGCAGCAGTGGTGGCGGTGGCGGCGGTGGCGGCAGCAACAGCAGCTGAGCACCACCAGCAGCACCGTCAGCAGCACCGTCACCAGCAGCACCGTCAGCAACAGCACCGTCAGCAGCAGCAGCAGCATCAAGAGGTCAGCAGAAGCATCAGCAGTTACAGCTGCAGCACCAACAATACACACCCTCACCCACCTTCTTTCACAATCACACCCCCTTGTGCACACACTCACAGCGATGTGAGGACTTTTGAGAATTCTCAAAAGTGATCTCAAAAGAGAATTCTCAAAAGTACCTTCTTTCACAATCACACCCCCTTGTACACACACTCACAGCGATGTGAGGAGCAGGAGATTCCCGAGGGTGGGAGGAACGGCACCCGAGAGAGCATTGGTGGCGAAGCCCCTGTATGAAGGTGGAGGGTGGTAATGTGATGGCAATAGGGCTTTAAAGGTAGAGCATTGCTGGCGAAGCCTCTACAAGGAGCAGCGGGTGCGGTGGCAGGTGGTGATGGCAATAGGGCTCAAAAGGGGGTGTTGATGGGTGGGTGAGCCCTTCAAGTGGCACTTGAGATAATTGCTGGCGAAACCCCTGCAAGGAGCAGCGGGGGGCAGGTGGTGATGGGTGGGTGGAACCGTTATAGCATTGTCAGGCAGGTGGTTATGTGATGTCTTCCTTCCTGCCTTTCACTCCGATGCGACTTGGGCGAGTGGGGAGGTGGCTGGCAGCAGGGTGAGATTCCTAACAAGAGACTTAAGGCTTCACGGTTTTCAAGGCGTCTTACGAGCGACTTAAGGCTTCACGGTTTTCGAGGCGTCTTACGAGCAACTTAAGGCTTCACGGTTTTCGAGGCGTCTTACGAGCGACTTAAGGCTTCAATATTTTCGAGGCGTCTTACGAGAGATCTTACAGGTATCTGAGGTTTGTGAGGGTTCCCAATTGGGAAGGAATCTCCCCAAAAAACTGGTTCTCGTCAAAGCGTCTGCAAAAGGGTTCAGCACGGTTGGAGGCGGTTGGAGGCGGTTGGAGAATTTATACATGGGTATCGTCACTCGCAGTTCCATCACAGGTCACGACTATGCTTTGATACAGCAATACCTCGAATAAGATTCTTGTTGCTAGCATAAGCATCAAAAGCGTGACTAGAGCTCAGCGCATGTTGAATTTCAAGGAACCTTGATCGGCCCTTTCATCCGGGTGTGTGAGCATAGTGGAGAGGTGACGATGGGCTACTTTTGGGATGTCTCAAAAGACGGATGTGTAGTTTTGAGGCGCCTCAAAACTAGACTTTTAGGACGTCTCAAAAGACAGGTGTGTGAGCTTAATGGAGGGGAGAGGTGAGGGTGGGAAAGAAATAGGCCAGAGGGGAAGGAGCACGGGGCAGGCAGGTGACTTTAGAGTCGACTCAACATGTGATGAGAGCGGATGCTGAGAGCGGATGCTGAGAGCGGACAGCATGCTTCTTGTAGCGCCTAGATGTCGTTAGAGTGTACTGGAGTGGAGCTTGTGCAACATGCAACTAGAGTGAGTCGTTAGAGCAGCTCACTCACAGCATGTTGAGTTTGGTGAGGGTGGCGAAGAGAGAGGGGACGGTGCCTTGAAAGAGACTTTTGAGTCGACTCAAAAGTCAACCCAATGGAGTGCATCAGAGCAGCTCACTCACAGCATGTTGAGTTTGGTGAGAGTGGCGAAGACAGAAGGGATGGTGCCTTGAAAGCTGTTGCGAGTGAAGTCACTGGGTGGGCAGAGACAAGGGGGAGGGAGGAGGGATGGTGAGAGTGAGAGGCCCGCACTGCACTGCAGCACACCGCACCGCACTGCACCACACCATCACAATTTGCGGGCATACATGTGATGTGAGTGAGGTTCTTGAGCAAGGAGAAGGTTTGTGGCATGCAGCCTGTGCACGGTTGTACAGAAGCACACCACACCGCACCACACCACCTAACACCACACCGCACCGCACCGCACGACACCACACCGCACCACACCACACCACACCACACCACACCACACCACACCACACCACACCACACCACACCACACCACACCACACCACACCATCACAATCTGCAGATATACATGTGAGTGAGCTTCTTGAGCGAGGAGAGGGTTTCTGGAATGCTGCCTGTGAACTGGTTGTCTAGAAGGACACTGATGGAGGGGTGAGACGGGGTATGGAGGAGTGAGACGGGGTATGGAGGGGTGAGACGGGGTATGGAGGGGTGAGATGGGGTATGGAGGGGTGAGACAGGGTATGGAAGGGTGTGATGGGGTATGGATGGGTGCGATGGGGTATGAAGGGGAATGACAGGGTATGGAGGGATGTAATGTGGAGGACGAGGAAGAGGAGAAGAGACAGGGGCGAGTTTCGAGGAACGGAACAGTGTTGCAGGTGGGACACGTGCAGCAGGGTGCCTTACTCGTGCTGCAGGGTGCCTTACACGTGCTGCAAGGTGCCTTACACGTGCTGCAGGGTGCCTTACACGTGCTGCAGGGTGCCTACACGTGCTGCAGGGTGCCTTACACGTGCTGCAGGGTGCATTACACGTGCTGCAGGGTGCCTTACACGTGCTGCAGGGTGCCTTACACGTGCTGCAGGGTGCCTTACAGTTACACGTGCTGCAGGGTGCCTTACAGTTACACGTGCTGCAGGGTGCCTTACACGTGCTGCAGGGTGCCTTACACGTGCTGCAGGGTGCCTTACACGTGCTGCAGGGTGCCTTACACGTGCTGCAGGGTGCCTTACACGTGGTGCAGGTCGGTAAGCCTGCTGAACTCGTCAGGGATGGAGGCAGAGAAGCGGTTGTATGACAGGTCACTGCATGCACAGGGCACGGGACAAGGGCAGCAGAATGGGCAGCAGAACGTGCAAGAATTGACTTCTGAGACGCCTCAGTAAGCCTGCTGAACTCGTCAGGGATGGATTTAGAGAAGGGGTTGTATGACAGGTCACCGCACGCACAGGAGAAAGAGTTTTGACGACTGGTTGTGCGTGTCACTGGACAGCCTCAAAAAGAGAAATGGCTGTGTTTTATGACGTGTCACCGCTGTACACATGGGCGTGATTTTTGAGTCGACTCAAAAGTCACCTCGTGTCACTGTACAACCTCAAAAAGAGGATCGGTTGTTTTGTATGACATGTCACCACTGTACAAATGGGCGTGCCGTGTAAAGGGTGGGATTTCCGTTTTGGAAATTAGGATGTTGCTGCACGCACAGGTGTT